CCACGCAGTAGGAGAAAAGCCCCAAATACCTGCTTCATCTTGTTTCTAAAATGCCTGGGATTTCAGAACTAATGCTCTCTTTTGAGGGGTGAATTTCAGATCGAGGCGCTACTATATAATTAACACTTAACTTCCTAGGGAGTGTAGAACATTTTCCAGGGAGGCTGAGTAGGAAATTCCTCATCAGAGTTTCTGGCCCTAATCAGATTTGGTGTGCTTTGCTGCCATGTCTTCACCAGCTTTAGGTGTGGAGAAAAAGCAGATGGAAAATGTAAGGGTTTGACCACACCGGCCTTGGCCTGGGTCGCACAGAGAGTCATTTACTGCAGCAGAAGGCATCACTCCCTTCGCAGAGATTTTAGAGGAAAGAGTTATTGCCGTGTTTGCATCCTACCACAGCGCTGATATAAAATCAAGATTCATTCCTTTCCGAAAGTCACGCCTGCATTTTCATTATCTGCATCTGTTTTCTTTCTTTCCTTCCTTCCTTTCAGTTTGAAAGATGGGCATGTCACAAGAAAGACAAAAAAAAAAATAGTTTGGAAGTTTCATCTGGAAAGCATTGTTACATAGGATGGCATTTTAAGAGACAGAGTTAGTTGATGGCTAAGTCTCTCATAGTAGAAGGGAAAGAGCTCAAAATAAATATTTCAGCTTTGAGTGGTGACCTGATTGCTGTGAGTCTTGGCACGGTGAAAAAGTCCATCAACTGAAGTAATTGCTTCGCTTGTAGGCAGATAGAGACCCCCAAGTCATCACATCTGAATTAATCCTAAGCCAGAGCAATACATAATGGTATATTACACCATCTAAACTAGTCCTGTTAAAGGTGTAACTTCAGAAACAAAAATGTGTTTTCAAGTAATTGTTAAAAGAACACTTTCTTATTATTTTATGGATATGTAGACTGACTGAAAAAGTATATTATTCTGATCAAACTTCAAACCATCCTCATTTAGGAACTTAAAAAGTTTTGAAAATATCCCTCTTAATATTTCAATTAGCCTCTTAGACCCCTTCCAGCTGTCTTAAATTCCTTATACAATATAGCAGAGGATAAGATAGAAAACAATAAGACAAAACACTTCAGAATCTTCTCTAATCCTGATTCAGCAGCATCATTTGCTTCTTCCTCTCTCAAAGCCCCGATTAATACTAAGTTTCCACGTGTGCCAGCTGCGTCCCCAACAAAACCTTTGCCAGCTGGGTTTGATCACCTTAGAAAAAAACGAAAACAGTGCTTATCTCTATAGGATTTGTGTTGTAATCAGATAGACTGATGGTGTTATTGAATTCTATGGGGTTTTCTAAGATCAAATATCTTAGTGTGGTTTACACTTATCTCTCAGTAAAATAATGTCTGAGCCTGGCATCACCATCTGGAAACCAGAATCAATTGCAAAGCAAAGAATCCAACAACCCAATTCTAATAACTGCCATGAGCACGCTCATTAATTTTTATTACCTGCTCCTGCCTTAGGATTTTTATGGCAATTCCCCTTGCCAGGGACGCGCTGTTCCTGGAGCTCTCCTGGCTGGCTCCTGCCATTCAGGCCTCCAACCAAAGGTCACTTCCTCAGGGAAGCTGCCTTGGTGGTTCTAACCTGAAACAACCCCTTTGGCGGTTATCACTTGACCGTGCCTTATTCTTTTCAAAGCTCTTGTCATTTTTTCAACTTATTTTATCCTGTTAAAACCATTTTTATATTCTTATTATCCTAACGACAAGAATGAACACATAGTGAGTTTTTCCTATATGCTGTACTCAAGGCACTGAATTCAGTACAAAACTTTAACATGCCAGCTAACTTGTGTTGAATGTTTGCTGCTCTCCAAACACTAAGCAAAGCACTTTGCCCCACCGGTGAGTCAGTATCGTCTCTTGCCTGGACCCTGCAGTGGCTCCCTAATTGACTGACCTCCCTTTTTCCATTAGAGTCTCCTTATAATACACTATCCCCCAAACAGCCAGCATTTCTCTGAAACATCAACCAGGTTATATTCTTATTAGCTTTGGGGCATCATTAATATTTCCAGCCGTGCTCAGATATTCCTCCTGGCTCCCAGGATGCACTGTGACACTTTCACCAGCACCTGTCAGCTGGGTTTCTAAGCACTGTACTTCCTCTGTTTCCTGTGGTCCCAGAGAGCCGCTCATGCTGGTGGCTCCATCTCTCACTCACTGGGATCTCTGCTGAAATGTCATCTCCTCGGAGGTCCATCCTGACCTCCCCACCTAAAAGCGCTCTTCACTCTGTGTCCCTAACCAAGCTATTTATTTTCTTTCCACTCACTGCCCAACATTGTATTACTCACCGCCCTTCATTCAGCAAATTTTTGTTGAATGTTTGTGCCAACACCAGTGTTGTGTACCACCAGTGCACAAAGTCAGTAAGATGGGAAGAGTCCCTGCTGAACTGGAACTATTCATACACAAACTCACTAAGTAGTTAGGATGAAGGATGTGTCAGGGGGCAAACCATTGGGGCAAACCGAAAGCATGTGAAAGACTAGGGATCTGCAGGGCAGGAGAGGGAGGGTAGGGTTTAACACAGAAGAGTGAAGTGGTCTCAGTGGGAGTGGACAGCTGTTCCAGTCCTGAAGAGGAGAGGAGGTGAATGGCGTGAGTAGGTGGAGGGTAAGGGTTTTGGCTGGAGGCAGCATCAGGTGTGAAGGCTCTGAAGGGGAGATTATAGCCACAGAGACAAACAGGGAGGAGAGGAAGAGATGTGACCAGAGAAAGGACAGGAGCAGGCCATGGAGCTCTGGTATGTCAGCTCGAAGCCAGGACACTTTGAGCAGGGGCACAACCTGGGGTGACTGGATCTTAACTGGATCCCCCTGGCTCTTGGATGGAAAATGGTTTTGGAGGGAGAAAGCACTGTGGAAAAGTCCCATTAGCCAATAAAAGATTCCAGTGCCTCGGTCCAGGCTGCAGGTGGGGTTGTACCAAGAAGTGATTGAAGTCCGGATATCTTTTGAAGGTAGATCCAACAGGATTTACTAGGAAGCAGATCCATTCAGGATGCCTTATTCCAGGATTTTAAATCCAGACCACTGGAAAGAGATGGCAGTGCCAAGGCCTGTACGCTGTGTGGGAATGGAATTCAGACGAGAGACTGTCGGGAACAGGACCTCAGCCTTGCGGGTTCTAGAAAGAGGATCCCCCAGTAGGTTTATAGAGTTGGGACGAGCAGAGTGCACTAGATTTCAGCGCTAGATTTCAGGAGTGTGGGAGGAGCGGAGAGAAGTGCAGGTGTAAAGGCATGTTTCAGAGCCCCGCTGGTTGTTCATGTTTACTTTTATTTATATACCACATTACACATTATATGTCTCTTACTCACTTGTTCATTGTCTTTTCCATTCTCATGTAGAGGGAAAAAGGTTACGATATGTCTGTTTTCCAATCAGTTGTATTCCAGGACATTTATTAAACATGACTGCAAGAATAAACTGCCTGGGATGCCACTGCTTCCTACCTGTTCTGCGGTTTCCTAAACTGAGTGCATGGCAGGCCTATATGTCAACTCTGTATGCCAGGTGCTCCCATGCCCACCCTCTGCTCAAAAGCTAGAGGGTTTTTAAAATAAAACAAAATCCTCTAGGCCAGAGATAGAGCTCAGAGACAGAACACTTGCCTAGCATCCAGGAGGCCCTGGGTTGTAGACTTTAACCCGGGCACCAAAACCCAGTACTCAAAACAAAAACGAAATAAAACAGAAAACCCTCCTCCACTCAGTACCATTTATAACATGATTCCTGAAAGGCGATTTAAGTTCAAAGTGACATTCCATTTGTCCCGTTTATTAAGATTCCCTTGCAACTAAAACAGCAGAAGACAGAACTGAAAATGAAGACTAATAAACTCCGGTTAGGTGATACCTTCCTTTCATGGTGACTTCTAAGCTTCTGCCAGTACTAGGGGTGACTGTTAGTATTTCCCTCTTACATTTAGTCTTGCTTATTGCCAAGGATTCGCTTTTAACTTTTTCTTTGCTATGTTGCTAGTGAGCATTCCGTTTCTATCTAATGAGACAATATAAAGAGTGACATTATTCAGCATTCTGTTACATTTAGATCAAAGAATGGAAAAGACAGATGTCAAGGGCCTAAGCATTTTTGTGTGGAATGGTCAGTAATGCTTTGCACAAGAGAAGAGTTTCAAATGGGACTATGTATCAGTTAGTTATTGCTGTGTAACAATAGAACACTTCAAAACTTAGTAGCCGAAATAATAAGCATTTATTATTACTCACAAGACTATGGTTCAGTGGGCTGGTTCTTCTTCTGGTCTTGGCTGGGCCTGCTCCTGTGTTGAGGCAATGGCTCTGCTCATCTTGGCTGGGCTCCCTCACATCAGCTGGCTGAGGCTACACTGACATGCCATGGCCAGGACATCTGGGGTGTCATCGCACAGTGGCCACCCAGCCTTCTTCACATGGCAGAGCCAGGATTTCAAAAGCAAGACTGGAAATGCCAGGCTTCTTGAGGCCTCAGTTTAAAACTGGTATAACATAACTTCTGCCACCTTCTCTTGTTCAAAGCAAGGAGAAGGGACATAAACTCTCCTCCTGATGGAGGAACTACAGACTTATACTGCATAGTGTGGGCACAAAGAGACCATTAGAATAACCACGCAACACCAGGCCTGGAAAGGTAAGTAGGTTTTAGAAAGTGGCCGTCAAGGAATTGGTATGAATCTCTTTTGATCTAAAGAAAAATGTCTCCTGACTGTCACCATTTCCCTCTCCACCTCCCAGGTATCTGGGAGACATGTGAACTTTGAGCTTCTCTCCTGGCTTGTAGGTTTTAGTTCTTGAACTGTACTTTTTCTTTCATAAAAGAGAATCTCATTAAAAATTCATATCTTGAGACATTTTCATAGAAATGCACTAAATTGTTTTTTGCAAGAATGCCTGGCATAACCACCATGTTTCTTGCAGAGTTAGTTTGATCATGCTGTTTTTTCTACAACTAATGATTATATCCCTCCCTTGTAGGATTACGCCCATGTGTTGACCTGTGTTACTGAAAGAGAAAAGTTTATTGTACCCATCAAAGCTAGAGGTGCACGAGCCATCCTGGATTTTCCCGACGAGCTGAATTTTTCCACTTGCCCTGTCAAATACAGCACTCAAAAGATTCTATTGATACGAAACATTGGCAACAAAGATGCTGTTTTTCACGTCGAAACTCATAGGTATGCGTGCCTTGGCTCTTGTTTTTGTGTTTGATTGATTACAGCTAAAGCCAGTCCATACAAGTACTTTGTTAGAATAGCATCAGGATGCAACTGTTTGTTACAGTCCTCAGCCGCAAAGCCTGGAGACCTCACTGACATTAATAGGAAACTGGAAATCAATGTTTAGTAATTTACACCCATTTTTTACTACTAAGTGCTTGATAAATGTCCTTCTAACATACCATGAGAAATTATAAACAAAATATTTGTTTCAACTATGAATTTTTATAACTGGCTGAATTAGTCTGCTCTTGCTATTGTACCAAATCACCACAAGTTTAGTGGTTTGACACAAGATTATTTCAGGAGACCCAAAGTCTCCCTGGCCTAAATATACTACCTACATTTCGGCGTTCAGAGGTGTCAGCAGGGCTGTGACCCTTTGGGAAGTTTGTGGGGAGAATGAATTTCTTTGCCTTTTACAGCTTTTAAGGTCATCCATGGTCCTTGGCTCATAACACTCAGTTTCTCATGTGAAAATTGGGGAGAAGAATAATGACCACTTCATAGGATTGGTTTGAAGAAAAAATAAATCAATAAAAATAAACTCCCAATATATAGGAATGCTATATAGTAAGTTTTGGCTCAAATGAGCTAATGCCAGAGTGATTGACAGAATAGTAACTCCCCGAATACGCCCATGTCCTCATCCCCAGAACCTCCGACTATATAATGTTCCATTGCAAAGGGGATTCATATCACAGGTGTAAGTAAGGCTGCCAATCAACTGACCTTACAATGGGGAGATTATCTTGGGTTCTCTCAATGGGCCCAGCATAATCACAGGGCTCATAGACACAGAACAAGCAAGTAGAAGACAATTTCAGGATGATGAGATGTGAGAGGGACTCAGTCTCCTATTGCCTGATTTGAAGACGAGAAACTGTAGCACAATGAGGTCCTATCGAGGGTATAGGGACAGTACGTGACGGAGTTGGATTTTAACCTGAAGATTTATGGAGTCACTGTAGAGTAGATATCATGGAACAGTACAGAAGACGATGAGACCGTCCTTGCTCTTGTAACTCGTGAAAGATGGGAAAGAACAACTCGTTAGGGGACATGAGGACAGGGACAGTAACACTGACTAGTTCAAGAATACACAAGAGAAGGGATCAAGTTCTTGGTCAAGTTCATGGTAAGTTGCTTGTATTCTGTTCTGGATCATGAACCCAGTTTCAAAAGGCTTTTTCTGGAATCCTTTTCCAGTTAAGAACATCTCTTTTCAGAAAAGAATAGCTTCTGTCATGGTTCTCATAGGTTAGACCACTATGGAATGATCTGTTGATGATTTCTCGGCTGAGGCGTCCTTGAACTGGTGGAATGTAGTCAAACCCGAACTGCGTAAGGTCCAAAATCCAAAGCTATGAATTGCCTAAAGATACTTAGATTCCCTCACACAAAGCTGAGGTAGACATTTTTCCTTTTGATGGTGAAAAGGTGTCTTGGCAGCTCTTCAAGCTCTCCAGGTTTATGTGGGGATTTATTACCAGTCCCTTGACTTGACCATCTGGTCAAGTTTCATGTTCCACTATGGTTATTAAGAAGCCAGGCTTCTGATCATTGGAAACCCAGGATAAGACCTGGCATTAGTTCAGCCCTCTTTGCTTTGGAGTGCTGTGAGTTTTCCTTATTTTGTTCCAGACATTTAGTGTTTTATTTTCTCCAGTCCTTCTGGCTATTCTGTGTAGTAGAAGAATTTTAGGTTACTCTGTCTACTCATAGTGTAGTATGGGTTTTATTTTTGTCTGGTGTTTTGTTTTGTTTTATATTAATCCTGTTGAGGTTCTGTGAACTTCCTGGATATTTCACTGTTTTTGGAAAATCTCAGCTATCACCTCTTTAAATATTTGTTCTCCAAACTCCTCTTTTGCTTGTGGGGAAGTTCTGTCTGCCACAGACGAAAGCCACTGGTGACACAGTGGAACGTGTCCGATCCCCTCAGAAGAAAGGGATCGTCTGTCTTCAGATTTCAGGTTGTTTGCCCTGCAGCCTCAGCTCTCTGAAGGGGTTCAAAAAAAGTTATGATTTTGTTGTTAGTCTGTGTTTTGTTTTTTGCTAGGATAAGAGAACTTTACAGTTTTTTGCATCCTAGAGGGAAGTAAGAATTTCTGAACCACTTTAAATAAATTTCCCATCGTGGGCAAAAACAACATTCTTTTGGTAATCAGAGTCTCCTGTTATCGTTCATAAGTGCTTGTACCCCCCGCCCTGTCATTCATGGTGAGTCTCATGTGTTTTGGCTGAAGGAGAAGATTAGTTTTTCAGGTGACTCACCATGATTTAAAAGATTTCTTTGTTTCAATTTAAAAAATTGTTTCCCCAAACCACCATCCACAATACACAGTATTATATGGCTATTTTTATGTGAAAAATAAAACCCACCTGCTATGAAAAAATGAGTGCAGGCAGTATGTCTTCTTGGACTATTTGGCTATTACCCATAATGCAGTACAGTAAGTCCCCAACTACTGAACATTCGAGTTGCAGCTTTCGCAGATACAAACAAACGGACCTTGTGTTAAGAACATTCATAGATGTACACAGATCACAGAAGCAGCTCACTTGTCTGCTACAAGTTGTCACGGTCATGCTGCTGTGTGCTTACTGGACTGTGCAATCCAGTACAGCAGTAAAGACCCCAATCAGAGCCCAGGGTGCCCAGAAGCAAGAAGAAAAGTAGTGGTGATGTGGAGGGCACTGCTGGGAGGCACAAAGCCATGACCCAATTGTATAGTTGTGTCCAAGTTGCAGAAGACTCACTTTGTCAGATTTATGAATGACTCTGACCTGTGACCATTCTCCCAGAAGAGAACTCATTCATAAATCAGGGACTTACTGTATAGAAAGGAGTAGCTGGGAATTATAAAGACATTAAAGTCTCTGATCCAACATCCCTATTCTACACATGAAGAAAGTTAAGTATGAAATGGGAAACGGCTTAGTCAAGTTTCCCCAGTAAGTTAATATCAAACCCTGGATTAGGACAAAGGAAGGCCAGTTCTGGGCTTGGGCTTGTTTACCTTCTGATCTGTTTGTCACCTTTCTCTGCTCGGCTGGTGTCACCATGGGAGCTGTTAGCTTTCCTAGACTACTGGACCAGCTGGATTCCAGCTGAGTTTGAGAGAAATTGGAAGATAGATAGAAAGAAGAAACCAGAATGTTTATCCTCCTCTCTCTCAATCTTCAGTAGGGCCCTCCGCAGCAGCTGCATCTGCTGTGTGTTCTAGCTGCTGTCAAGATGGCCTGCCATGAGCCCACCTTTGGTTACTGTGGTCCCCAGGATCTGATAACACTCCGCCCTCTGATTTGCCTCCAGCCCAGGAGTAGAAATGGCTTGTTGCTGTTAACCGTTCCAGCCAACTCTCTGATCTTTTGTGTAATTAAGTCTTTCAAATTCTCTGCTTTCAAATATTTTTGTTTTCCTGTTTAAACTCCTCATGAAATGGTAGTCTTACGCTCTTTGCCTAAAAGGCATGTTTTCCAGCCATGTTGTCAAATCTGGGAGGTTCTCAAATCCTTCCAATTAATCCTTTTTCCAGTTAGCCATTTAGCTTCTGTGATTTGCGACTGAGAAACCCAGTGGTTGCATTGTGGTGGTGTCATATCGAATCAGGTTCTCTTGGGACATTCCCTAGTCAGTAGTGTCTTTTCTGAAAACTGCACTGGTGATTCTGTTTCCCAGAAGAGTTCTGTTGTTGGTTTACATGGTAAAGTAATAGATATAGTTTGAGAATTTATAGAGTTAAAGGCCCAGTATCCATTCTTGGTTAGGCCACTTAGGGTCAATATATAGCTAGAGACAGCATCACACAGGAGATTGTTTTAAACACAGAACATATTTTTCTCATTGAAATAATTATTTAATTACTAGCTAAGGTTATAAAATGGTTACATTTATATAAATTATAAAAATAAAACTTTATGCGTCTGTTGTCCCCATTTGAATGTGAGCTTCTCAAATAAAAGAATTGTGTCTGTATTCATTTGTATGTCCCAAGCATTTAGCATGCATCTAGCATAAATAAAAGCTCAATAAATGTTTATGGGATGCCTAACCAACAATGTATCACAAAGGCAAAGCTACAACTATAAATCTCTACAATAATTTCAAATTTTAAAAATGCTCCAAGTACTATAAAATGAGCATAATGTTTTTACTCTAATAAAAAGAGCTGCAAAGTGCTATAAAATGTACAGAGAACATAAACCATTACCATTCAGGTTTATTACAATTTTAACCTAAACTCTAGTAGGTCCCAGAATGACTTTGACTGTTAAAGTAGGATTAATATTGAAAGGTGAAAGAGGAGGATTCAGAAGCAATTTCAAAATCTAAAACCTCAAATTGAGAATTACATAAGAAAGTTGATCTGAAGAAAAAATAATAACACTATATTAATATTTACTATAATAAGACCAGTATTTAGGCATCTGCAAAAATAATGAACCATTTGGACAAAATAGTTTTAGTTAAGAACAGCTCATGATAAAATAAAAACTCTGTCTTTCCCATGCTTCATGATTTTTCATAAAACCAAGCCCATTCCATAATTAAATATTTGGTATTAATAAGAATGTGATATCAGAATCAAACACTTTGATATGCAGAACCAGCTTTATGCCCGTGAGGAATAATACTTTTAACTTCTTTATAACAGCAGTTTCTAACAGTATTTTCTAGCCTGTTCAGGCTGTCTGCCTTTAGTAGAATGAAATACAAAATCAAATTATAGACAGTGTTTAAGTACCGGAACTTAACACACTCTACCCAATTAACATCTGATTTATCGAAGCTTAGGTGGCTCTAAGTGGCAATGGCTATCCCAGGTGATTTTCTACCTCCTCAAGAAGTTAGTGTAATTTAAACCTAAATTAGCACAGGGGAAGTATCCATTACCACCCAGTGGAGCTGGAATTCCTGCAGGTCCTAGAGACTCTACACCAGTGTCATCTCCCCTGTATAAAATTAGTTTAAGTCCTACAATGTAATAATATCCAATTAATTTTAAAACTGTTCTTTCCCTACTGAGAAATATTTAAAAAGAAAATGAAAGCACAGTACAGGAAGAAAAATATTAGGAAACGGAGAAGCAAAGGTACAAGAAGATGCTGCTATGTTGTTATTCTCAAAACCAGAAAACTGGGCCTCTCTCCAAGCTCTTCAGATTCTCACTAAGGGCAGAAGAATAGTAAGAACCTTGAGCCTGGAAGACCCATCATCTCCCATGATGCAGAGATGCTCGAGCTCCCGAAAGTTGACTTCTCTTCTGTTTGATGTTGTAAAAACTGATGGATAGTTGCCTATACCTTTATTTTTTCCTTCAGATTGTATTGTGATTCAATTCACCACCTCTTCTGAGAGGTGTGTGTGAGTAAAGAACCGTGCATGGGGTGACGAGAGCTACAGAGCGAACCTCTGTGGCTTCCACATCCGGGGGAGCACAGGGGCAGGCAGAAGGAACGGAGCTGGAAAACGCACCCTGCAGCTCTCCCACCACATAGCTGGGCAGCATTAGGCAAGCTGCCTGCCTTGAGGGAATCTGTTTTATCCATGTCTATTATACAAACAAAGTACCTGCTTTCTCAAGATATTTGGAGCATTAGACTGACATATGTATAGAACCCCCTAGAATAAAGTACATGCTCATGATGAGTTGTTTTCTCCGCCTCAGAGGCTGTGGATTTTTCTTTTCTTTCTTTCTTTCATTTTATTTTTGGTAGTATTGGAGATTGAACCCAGGGTCTTTGCATTGAAGTTCACTCCGGCCTTCACCCCCATCTTAAACCCTTTCTTTTGAGAAGAGGGTCTTGTTGAACTGCTGTGTAATTCAGGCTGGATTTGAACTTGTGGTCCTCCTGCCTCAGTCTCCCAGAATGCTGGAATTACAGGGGTGTACACTATCACAAATAGTTCACCTTTCTGTTTGTTTTTCTCTGTGCTTTTTCTTATACTATAGATAGTTTTTGGGCATGCCTCTCCGGAGTTAAAAACTCCTGAGACAAAAAAAGAAAAAGGCAAATTTCATGAGCATGCACTCTATTGTGCATACCACCCCGGGTACTTTATATATGCAAGAGTCTATTTAAGACGTGACTTCGAGTCTGAGCTCTGATCTGTGACTTCGGAAGAAGTATGGCTCGTGGGAAGTGGTGGGTGTTCTGGTCCCAACCCTAGCAGTTCTGGATTGTTGATGTGGGGAACACAATCTGGTTGGAAGGCAGAGCAGGTGCCATGCTGGGAGAGTTTATGGGTGAAGAGACCAAAGCCTCCCACTCAACCCACCCCAGCTGACTGGGCATGTGACAGGTGTGTGTGCTATCTGAACAGATGTATGTGTGTAATCAGAATGCAAAACCTGGTTGGAAACAGATTTGTGGGACCTTGAATGCTTGGGAACTCAACACTATTGTAGAGTTAGGAGACTACTGACAGTGTCTGAGCAGGAGACAAGTGTTGTGATGTGTGTGTGTGTGTGTGTGTGTGTGTGTGTGTGTGTGTGTCACTCTCCAGAGCTCTGTTAAAGATGGAGGGCAGAATGACAACGTTTGAACTTATCTAAACATCCAAACTCATCCTCAGTTCATCTTTAGCATATTGGGTCTGTAGTGAAGGGGATGAAAATAGCAATACAAAGAGAATAATATGAACCCTTGCATAGCTCCTCCTACCTATGAGGCATTGTGCTTAGCACTCTGCCTGTAGCAACCCCGTTAGTCTGCACTGTACCCCTATAACCTGCACTGTAATGAAACAGGTGCTGTCTGTACACTTGTTTTAGGGATGGAGGACTGAAGTGAAAATCCCAGGCCTACCTTGAGAGATCCTGTTGCCTCTGAGACCTGTAAGGAACTGACACCAGAAGAGGCTGGAACTGCCTGAGAGCACCCAGTCACAGCAGGGCTGGCTTCTGAACTCTCTGTTGTCTCCATAGGCGGGGCTAGTCACCACCACTTCAGGGAGCTTCTAGAGCAGTGCCTGGGGCTCTCCAGAGGATTGACACCATGGCTATGAGGAAAGGACTGAAAAAACAAAGGAAGGTCAAGAAGGAAATCAAAGTAGAGAGCATCAGAGAAGATAGATAGGTGCCCAGGGTCAGAGGGTCCGAGGCCCTGCAGGAATTATCTCAGGCGCTGCTGATGCTACCTTTGCTGCAAGCCCTACACCCTCAGAGGGGGAAGTTTATGTTTTCTGAAATTGAGTTCATTATCTAAGGGAAGATGTAAGGAACAATGATTCTAAAAACTGTTTTGATATAAGTAAATAATCAGAAACAGCTTAGCTTGCCAGATACATTGTACAACACATTACTTTGAAAAACTAGCAATTTAAAGAAGTGAAATGGACCATGAAAATAATTAAATGGGCTGAGTTTCCTATTTAGAAGGAAGAATGCTGTAAGTTATTTGAGGTGCTTCTTGATCAGATCCGGCTTCTCTCTTTGCAATAGCAAGATTTCCTTCCAGGACAGTTAAGTGAAACTATTTCCTGCTCCCAAATCCATCCTCACTCCCCACAATGTCTGCATCCCCAATTCCTGTTTTTCAAGACACAAAACTTGTCCTGTTTGCCTTTCCAAATGCAGCCTGCCTTTCTCCAGCCTGCTCTTGCTCTGGAACTGACTTGTGTGGCCTGGGTCAGCAGGCCCCTGTGCATTCTGCCTTTTGCGCAGGCGCCAGGAGCACTTGGACAGAAGAAGAGATGAGATCAGAATGTTCTTTAACTCACTGTCTTCTCTGTGAGACCACGTGGACTGGCCATCTTCTTGGATATGAAAGTCCCTTCTGTAAAGCAGCCTCCTCCTAGGACTCTCTTGTGCATTTCAAAACCCTCCTCCCCATGCTTGGCCTAGAGATAGTAACGGCTCTGTTGGCACTAACCCTGGCTTTTGAATCATTTCTGTAGTTCTCTACACTCTTCCCATCTTCTTCAAATGGATCTTTGTTAAAGGGTTCTGGAATTTCCTAATATCACTGTGCCATTGCCTTAATTTTGAGGTTCTGATATATTTTTCTGCTATGATGCTTTCTCTTTTCTAATCCCTTACAAAACTTAACTTTTGTCCTTAGAAGGCACCCACCCTTCTTATACTTGTTGTAAGTCTATCTCCAATTAGAATCTCAGTGTCTTGAGAATAAGGACTGCATTGGATTCATTTGTGATCACCTAACCCAGTGCTTGAACCCAACAAAAACCCTCAATAAATGTTAGGCAAAAAGTTCACAAACAAGACTATCATTATACCATTTTGTTGTGGGTAAATTCCCAAGCCAAGCCAAACCAGACAAAACCAGAAGGAAGACTCTTGGCACTGAGGAGATAAAAGGTAGCCTTTAATCTTTACACCAACAGACTGTTGGAGCTTCATGCCAGTGGACTGTTGCGGGATAATTTCTCAAAGGCAACAACGTTGAATTTACAGAGAGCTTAGTTTATGCAGAATTTAGAAGTGGGAGGTGCAAAGCCAATGACAAAATATTACATAATTGGTTACATGCATTGTATACTATATTGACAGGCAGGCTAGTCTTGAACAGATTTGTTGAAAAAAAGCAATTATTTATCATATTTCTGAAACACTCAGAAAACAAGAGGAAGGGCCCTTACAGGGTGAGCATAGTTAATGGTGTCTTTGATCAACCCAAGGAGCCTGAAGGTGGAGACAGTTACTCTGATTCAGTATATCAGAGGTATACAGCTGGGCTTCAGACACTGTCAAGGTCATAAACTTGGTCACAAACCTCTAATTGCTCTCCATGAAATACCTATAAGTTTGCTATTTTATAAATATGCTGTAACATTAAATCGTGCCCCAACAATTTAAGTCTCTTTTAAACTTGCTAATCTATTGCTGTCAGTTTAATATTAAAACTAAAGTTCTTTCACATGAGAGAAAAGAATGTATCTGCAGAACTGGAGCTAAAGTTTCCTCTCATCCTCCTCCGCTCATGCTAGCTAGAAATACTCTCTGATGGCGTCTCTCCCTGTGTGTTGCAGGCCTTTCTCTGTGGAGCCAGCTGATGCAACTCTTACTGTGGGAGAATCCCTGCAACTGGAAGTTGATTTTGAACCACAGAGCGTGGGCGATCACAGTGAAAGACTTATAGTGTGTTATGACACAGGTATGCATTATTCTTTGCTTAAAATTCTATATATTAAGAAGGATCAGACAGGAAATATAGTGGAGCCGAACAGGAAATGATATTTTGCCTGCTATAAACCAAGTCTGCAAGATAAAGCACTGAACAATGAAGGCCTTCACAGGAAATGGTGTGCCAGATATAAGACCCACCTAACTGATCAAGAATTCAGGTCTCTGGAAGGAACCAATACCCAGAAGTCATATTGGTGAATTGAAGTTATTTATATGTAAATGAAAACTTGAATGTAATGAATAGCCAGTGGATTTTCTATTTGACTTACAGCTGCACTTGGCTAGCATTTTAACAATATAAATCCTAATTTAGAATGTTCTTATACATACCTACTAGTCTATTTGGTATCTAGAAACTTTAATCCTTAGAACATGCAAATGTCTTTCATGAATGTAAGATTGCATCTATGGCTCCTGGCATTTTCTTCAGGACCACACCCCGATGTAATCATGAAAATTACACACTGCTTTGGCAAATATTTAATTTACAGTCATGTAGACTGCATGTGCATTATAGAGTTTCCAAAACTCATTTTCAAATTACTATTTTATCATTTCCCGAAGGCCTTATGGGGTAAACATTCCTACATGGCCATCCAGACGTGGCTTGGGCAGGTCAGCCCGTATGGAGATGTTCCCTGGGAAGTAAAAGGGGTAGGCAAGACCTTGAAATAGACCCTGTAACAGCTTTAACCTTCCAAGCCCATTGCTAGCGTCAGGCTAAACTGAGGCACAACCAAGACTACTGAGGCAAACAATGATCTCGATAACTTTACTGCAAACTGGGTGCAGTCTGGCCAAGGGTGACAAGACTTTTGGCCCCTGAGCTAGCAAGGGGAGAGGGCATATTTTATAGGGAAGTTTGGATAGGGGAGGGGGAAGAAGTTCTGTTAAAGGGGAAACCTTGCTGACAGAGGTAAAAATTGACGGGCTTTCCAGGAGAGGGGTTAAGGGGGTGGTGGTGCAGGATGTCATCGGTGGTTTTTTGCACTGAGCAAGGGTTACGGGATGTCTTTTGTGGGCCTCCTTATCAGGAACCTGAGGTCCAGGGGGTTTCCTTAGGCAAGGTATGAAACATGAAGAGGTTTTTCTATTGTTTGCGCAGTGATCCAGCCCAGGGGCCCAGCAGCTAGATGTTGATTCCAGGCTGCCCTACCTGAGAGCTGGTGTTTACCTGCAAAGCCCTGGCCTGGCTTGGCTCCAGCTGATAGCACTCACCCACTGTTCCTGGACACTTACTCCCTCTCGGCCTTGGTCTGCTCTTCTAAAAAAATATATGTAGCAGCAATAATATAATACTTCACTGGGTTGTTATGAGGATTAACAAGGTACTGTGTATAAATGATTTAGCACAGCACCAGCCTCATGGAAACAAATGTGAGCCATTACTCCACCAAGATTCAAGAAAGGCAAGCACGGTATCAAAGATCACAAAGTTAGATACTTGCAGGAGTAGGGATATAGGGGCTGGGGAATTAGCTCAGCGGCATAAGCACCTGCCTTGCAAGCAGGCAGTCGTGAGTTCGATCCCTGGTACCGATAAAAACGAAAAAGACAAAAAAAAAAAAAAAAGAGTAGGGATATAAATCCCAATGTAGCATCAGGCCCTGTTCCACACTGCAATCACAAGAGAACACACCCTGGATCCGACGCCATGGTCCCACTGACACCCTAAGTTCTGGGTCTCCCATGCCTTCACCCTGCCCGTGAGTTGGTACTCCCCCTTACAGTTTGCTAACGTCAATACTGTGCCTTAGCCCACTTCTTGGCCAAGCAAACTGGGACCCAAGACCCTGTAAGTCCGTCTTGTTCTCTGCCCCAAAGGAGGTCTTGAGTGGCTTCTCTTTCCCTACTTCTTGGAGCAAAGTAGTGGGGCTCTGTCTTCCTCAAGGAAGAAGGCGCCAGAGGTTAAAGAACTGTATGTGGCAGAGACCCAACACTGAGTCTGAAAGGCCAGGGGAAAGAGCCCTGCTGTGACTGTGTGCTCTCAGGCAGTTCCAGCTTCTTCTTGGTTATAGTTCCCAGAGGCAACAGATCTCCCAAGGTAGGCCCAGGATTTTTCACTTCTGAGGAAGGTGATGCTCCTGACATTCACCTTCCACTGTGAGACCACTGACCAAGGGTCCAGCCTTGTGAGTATCAGGAAACCTCAAATGAAGACAGAATGGGGGAAAGAAAATAACATCTACCTGGCTGGATTTTACTCAGAGCTCATAGCCTGGGTAGCAAGGCAGGCAATTCAAGATCAAGCGGGCAGGCCCTGCCCTGCACCAAGTCGGAGTCCAACTTGGACGCTGGGGTAAGGGCTGGGTCCTCAGAGAGGTACTGAACAGTATCAAGCTGCACCCAACTGCTTCTGCCTTTGTCTTCAAGACCAGGGCAGCCTAGAGTGACCCTGGCCAGGGTCTGAAACTGGCTGCAGATTGCCCTTGGCTGAGCTGGCAGCGCTGCTGGCAAATGTGGAGTTCCCCCACTGGAGTCAGTGACTGGGTTGCCTATTTCCGTTTATTATTTCGTGACTTTTCTTCATTTCTTTCTCATTTTCTACACTCATGTTCATAGATGAAGGACTCAGAGTGTCTTCAAAAGTAGGCAGAAAACAGAAGTTCACAGCCAAGGAAAGAGCATTAAGGAAGTGTTATCTAGGTCACAGGCCAGTTTCTGGCTTTGTGGATGGATGCACATCTGATCGGGTCAACTCAAGCCCCTGCCTATAAGCTGTAACTGGGTGTCCTGGCTCCCCACTGCCCAGCTTAACAACACATAAGCAACCAGTGGCCCAGTCTATGTGTCTTACCATTAGCATTACCTGCACTTCACTGCTGGCAAGAGAGACCTAATTTGGACTGGCTTCCACAAAAGAGGAAACTCATGACAAATGTAAGCGAATACAAGTACAACTCACAACACATCTGGAATGTCGATTTCCCAAGACAGTTTTTTACTCTCTCACCAACAAACTGTGAGAGTTCCAATTGCTTCAAATTCTTGCCAGTGTACATCACTGTTTTGTTAATTTTAGGCATGCTAGGAGTGTAAAGGGGTCTCCAATGGAGGTGTGCCAGTAAATCTTCATTGTCAACTTGAGTGGAGTAAGAGACTCTTACAGAGATGATTTGTAGCACGGGAGGGCTATACTCACTCTTGGATTAGTTCACTGATGTTCAAGGATGAGCGCACTGTTAGAAGGGGGGACCCAGGTAGAGATGGTTCACTGAGGATGTGCCTTTGGAGAAGTAGATCTCTAACATTCTTCCCCTGGGCTGTGATTCCTGACCTCCATGAATTAAGCAGCTTTGCTCAAATATCCTTCCACCATCCTTCTCCTGACCTTTGAGCCTGTCAACTACGGACCAAAAATGAACCAAATAAAACTCTCCTCCTTTAAGTGCCACGTGTTAAGGAATTTTATCCAGCAAAAGGAACTCTAACAGAAGTGATTTTAAGTTTAATTTTCCTAATGACTAACGATGTCAAACATCTTTTCATGTGCTTACTTGGCCATTCCTATATCTTAAGTGAGTAAGCCTTTTGCTTGATTTTTTTCTCCTTTTATTATTAATTTATAAGTGCCCTTTACAACTGAATATTCTAAATACCGATTTTCTGATATATATTATTAATATATTACATTATATGTTATTAACCTTTTCTCTCAGCCTCTAGCTCATTTTTTATTTACTTAATATTTCTCAGCAGTAATTTTTCATCCTTGATATTATCAGCTATTTTTCTTCCAAATTAACGCTTTTGCATCCTTTGTCTTTGTTTATTCTCCTACATTTACTTCTACAAGGGTGATAATTTTAGCTTCTGTGTTTAGGTTAATGGCTCGTCTTTGATTTAATTTAGGCATGAGATGGGGCTGTGCATCTTTTTTATCCCACTGACAGGGTTATTGACTCTTCCTCATTCTCATCATCTGTTTTCTGGAACATTGATTAAAGTTAGTTCAGCTTGATGTTTACAATAGATATTCACTAGATTATCAGATTAAGAAAATTTGTTTCATCACTAGGTTTCTAAGACCTTGGAAATCTTGGATAGGTGTTCAATTTTGTCAAATACTTTTTTTACATTTCTTAAAATTATCATACATTATTTCACTTTTATTCTTCCTATGCAGTAATTAATTGTGAAATGCTAAATTCCTGCTATATTCTGGAATAAATTAAAGTTCTAAATATTATCATTTTATAAATCATTAGATTATGTTTGCTCTATTTTGCCTAGGAATTTGCCACTCAATTCTGTAAGAAGATGTGGTCTATAAATTTCATGTGATGACCTTGTCGGGTTTTGGTCTAATAAAACAAATTGGTTTTATAAAAACAGTTAAAAAGTATTCTCCTCTTTTATTCCCTGGTAAAGCTTTTATTTTTAAGATTTATATTACTACTTCCTTAAATGACTAAAAAACATTATTCAAACCACCTGTATCAAACCACCTTTTTAAAGAAGAGGTGCAAACTGATTTTTTTTCTTAAATTTTATTGAAAGAGAAAAAAAAACAAAACAAAAAGGGTACAAGTAATATAGAATTTTAAAAAATAAACAGTAAGAAATCACTAGTTAATAGATTACATATTGTCATCTTAGAAATACTTGTTCAAGATACAAAATTAAAGCATACAAATGGACATTCAAACAGTGAGACTGCGAACAGTTCTGTTCAATGATCCAACAAAAACTTAGTATTATGATTATCTATCTTACACACTTAAATACACATGCAATTATATCCTTTAGAGCACTTTCTTTTCTTCTCTTTTTTACAATAAGAATTACACATTTTGGGTTTTATTACTCCCGCAGTTCTTATTACTTTTTTTTGAAGAGAATAAAACCAAATGTGACAAAACAAAATAGAGTCAGTCAAAACAAAAGGATGGACATAGTACATGATGTAAAAACAGAATATAAGGTGATCAACAATGGTTACCATAATGCCTCTTGCATTGTGGCAGA